CAATGCCATAAAACAAAATACAGACACACATTTCCATATTTACATTCATATACACATGCATTCCCTCCCCCAAAATTAGGGTAATAGAAAAGTGAGTAGACACGGTTCAAATCCACCAGATGCTCTGCCGGGAAAAGGAGGGACAATCTCCTCCTGTACCAGTCAGATCCGATTTGATGGTATGCGCACACACACACATACAAAATAATAAAATGATAAAAAAAAGAAAAGTGAGTAGAATAAATGTATGAAAGCTCATTCACAGAAATGCAGGTATGATGATAAATACTAAATGACCGGAAATGTATAGTCCTTCAGCCCCAAATCAACCTTCTATTGTATTATTCTGTTTAATTTTAGCCAAGAAGAGGTCAGTTATTAAAGCTCTGGAGGTACTGACAAAACACACTTTTAAAAATTAAAAAACAAACAAACAAAAAAAACCAACCAAATCCAACTCTCCTTCCACACCTCTGTCCTTCCTTGTTAAAAGCAAAGGCCTTAAGCAGAAGAGGGACAGAAATGTTCGAGTCAGTTGTACAATGATCAGACAGCATCATGATACCATTCAAGCAAAAATGTCTCTAAGAAGCAATAAATGCATCTATTAAAAGCCCATCAAATTGGCTAGTAGCACAAAAATGAGCTGAAAACCACCATTCACGGCTCACTCTCCTTGCCTGAAGCAAGTAAAAAGAGCTCTATTAGGTCTGGAACTTAGATTCACAATTGTTATCTTTCTGAAATCTCAGAGGACTTTCATATCTACTAAGTCATGTTCTCTCAAGGCAGATGTTAGGCAGTCCTTTTGTACATGAACGAACTCACAAAAAGTAAGTGCCTGCCCTTGGAGGCCAAAGTGTCTCACCTCAAACTAAATCCCAATGCCACCCAGCAAAACATCTGCCCTGCACACAGTTCCTCTGCACAAAATATTGGGGTAGGATGGAGAGCAGGGCAGGGGATCTCTGGTTAAGAGCCTCATCAATGACTGTGCAGGATTCAAACACCAGCTACGTATTAACAGTATGACAGGATGCAACTTTTGAGACACGTCAATGGCCTAAGTACCTCATCTGAAAATTAGGAAGGGAACCGTCATATCCAGACTTCACAGGGAACCATGAGGGTCAACAGAGAGTTATACTAGACTTGAGTGAACCCATCTGTGTAAAGGAGACATGTGCGCACATATTTCTGACTGCTGTGTCCATGTGTACATTATTACTGGCATCCCAAAGACAGAAGCACAAGAGTGCGTGCGTACACACACACACACACACACACACACACACATATTTTCCATTGAGTCTCTTCTCACTCTTAGTAACCCTCCATTGTGTTTCCAAGCTGTAAACCTCGGAGTTACTGTTGGATTTGAACTGGGGACACACGGTCTTTGGTTAACAGCAGAACACACTACAGACCACTGACATCTAGTCCTGCTAAACATCCTACAGTATACACAACAGTATTACCTGCCCAAAATACCAACAAGGCCAAGGTTGAGAAATTCTGCTCCTAATACAATATCTGGCATATGGCAAATGCTCTATGGCAGTTACAGTAAGTACTTCTTCTTTCAAAATTCCCAATTCTTTGACATTGAGCTTTTGGGTGTTATTTTAAAAAAAAAAAAAACAAAACAAAACAAGGACTGCACACTGTGCTTAAGAGCCTCAATAAAATACGTTTTTAATGGAAACCTTCCTCTTCGCCAATATGCTAGAAGTAGCAACATATATTGGTAAACCTGGCAGGCCAAACCAAAAACCTGTTACCATCACGTTGATTCTGACACACAGAAACCTGAAGGGACAGAGCTGAGCCTCCCCACAGGGTTCTGAGGCTGCCACCCCTTCCTCCCATACAGGCACTGACAGGTTAGACCCAAACCTTTCTGGTTATTAGCCGAGTTCTTACCCACTGTGCCACCAGGTCTCCTTGGAGTGGCCAAATCCACTCCAGAAAGGTAAATTTGTATTTGTGCACTTTTCCAAAGAGAGGCACTCTCTTGACATTAATTCCTGTGACTTATTCTCCACCTTACCCATGTCCCTCTTTCCAAGTTCTTGGAAAATCTCAAATTTGTCAAGCCTCAAGACCTTTGTGCATGCTGTTCCCTCTACAGTGGGCACCCTTCCTGGATATTTCTAATTAACACTGGTCCTGCCTCTACACTTTGTGCAAATTCACTTCCTTAGGAAGATCTTCCTGCTCTAGTCTCACTGCTTCTCTTCCTTACACAAAAGCCCACACTACATTTTTTTTTCTTGCCAGAAATGATAGAAATTGTATCCATATGGCAGACAGTGGAATTGTAGAAAAACTTATGGATCTATTGGACAGACATGTAGAGGATGGAAATGTGACAGTACAACAAGCAACGCTAAGTGCTCTCAGAAACCTGGCCTGAAAGTGGATGGTGGAAGGTAACTATGTTAAAAATTCTTTTTGGAAAATATTTGCTGTATGCAATAATACATTGACCTGATGTTACCAAAAAAAGAAAAAAAACTGTCTTCACTTTGTTTCCTTTTTTTAAAAAAAAAAGTGTTGAGTGGGACTGAATAATTTAAAAGCAATGTATGATAGGGTATTACGGTTATCACAAGAGTCCACAATTAAGGTTGCATAGTGGAATGTACTTGGAGCGGTGGGAGGGGTGTGGAGAGATTGTGTACCAGGGAGGGAGTCTTTCTTTTACTTTTGAAAGAGAGGAGCAAGGGGAGTTCTGGTGGCCTAGTGGCAAGAAGCTGCACTGCAATCCCAGAGGCGCACGGTTCAAATCCACCAGATGCTCTGCCGGGAAAGGAGGGACAATATCCTCCTGTACCAGTCAGATCCGATTTGACGGTGTACACACACACACACACACACACACACACTAATAAAATAATAATTAAAAAAAAGAGAGGAGCAAACTGGGGAGCAGGGGGAGAGGGCTGGGCGGGGAGAGAAGTGCAGCAATGAATGAATGGAAATCCAAATTCTCTGTAAATGTTCATTAAAATTACTAAAAAAAATAAAATTAAATTAAAAAAAAAATAAAGGTGGAATAACAAAGACACTGCTCTGAGAAAGGCTTTGCACAACCTCCTCCCTTAAACCAAACCATCGCCCAGGAGTCAATTCTGACTCCCTGTAGTGCTGTAAAATCTCAGCTTGTTTCTGATAGTCATACCCAACTCGTAGCTGATGCTCCTGCAAATTTTCAAAGGCTATTCATTGTATTGCCCTTCTCTCTCCCAAGAAGCAGGGGGAGCATTTGAACTGCCTGCCTATGAGTCATTTGCACAACTCCTTACCCACTAGGCCACCAGAGTTCCACTCTGACCCTATAGGATGGTTTCCAAGAATGTAAATCTTTATGGAAGCACACACACACACACACACACACACACACACACACACAGACTAAGCACTCTAGCATGAATAACGAAAAAGATCATTGATCATTAAAGGATCATTAGTGCAGTATAAAGTACATAGTGGCTGTCATTGTGAAGCTGAAAGTGTGCAAATTATGGATTGTTAATCGCCTTCATAATTTACAAGGCTGGGATGGTGTAACTTTAAAGAGCAATCAGTTGGGATTTAAACCAAACAAACTAAATCCCAGAAATGCTTTTCGAAAATCTCGGAAGCCATGTGGGTAGGAAGAACCACCTCAGTTTAAAAAAAAAAAATGTGTTAAATAGAAGCAGGACTGGCATCCACTTCCGTAACAGCTTGCCTCCGGAAACCCTATGAACCTGGAGAAAGGATGAAAGTCATGCAAGTGTCAAGGACTTTCGTTCATAGGGTCGCGATGAGTCGCCTAACAACACCACCACCACCTTTTAAGTCACTGAATCAATCCATCTTGTCTAGGGTCTTCCTCTCCGGTGCTGTCCCTCCCCTCTCCCAAGCATGACATTGCTCTCCAAGGACTGGACTGGTTCCTCCTTGCAACATGTCCAAAGTATCAGTGACTGACATAATGCGGGTGGATGTACCAGAGACAAGAAGACTGGCACAGCAGAGAGCAGGGTATAGGGCTGTTATACATTGGGTCACTTTAAGTCGCGACTCAAACACACCTAACAACCAACAACAACCACCTTTAAGGCGATTCTTCACACTGACCTCCACCGGGTTTCTGAAGCCCACCATTCACAAGGCGCCATTGGTGGATTCAAACTCCTCTCCTTGACTTTTCAGTTAGCTGCTAGGTAACGTTAGTACTGCGCTACCAGGGCTCCTTCTTCTAACAGACTCACAGCAGACTCTCCAGCGGGTTTTCAACGGCAGTAAAACGCACAGCAGACTGCCTATCCTTCTTCCACGGAGCTGCTGGTGGATTCGAACCCAATGCCTTCAGAATTACAGCGCAGCTTCTTACCACTAGGCCACTGGAGCTCCTTAAAGCCTTCCCCCCCCCCCTTTAAAGCCTTTTAAAATGGCATCGACTTCACTTTCTTTCTGTCTGTCCCACTCACCGGAATGTCCGCTCACCTGGATTGAGTACTTGGCACATCGTGGGGGTTGGGCACTGCTACATGAATGAATTCTCGAAGGGGCTGGCCCCTTAAAACGGCAGCAAATTGCTAGACTGAAGGCACACGGAACTAAGTGAAATAGGAGAGAAAGGAGGCTCCTAGAGCCTGGGCAGAATGACAGGCGCACTCCGTAACTCCTAACAGGTTATGATCAACACGCAAACACACAGAAACCCTTAGCAAATGAAGAGTTGTTCAGAAGCCTGATGGTACAAAGAGGCGCCGGGCAGCACCCTTCATAAAAAGTCCCCATATGAGTAGCTGGCAGAGGAGAAGGGGAAGCGGGGGGCAATGGCCGCTGCCGAGGAAGGGTCAAGGCTGGCGCTCCAGGCAAGGTCAGGTCCCATTGCCAGGATGGGGCCGCTCCAACCCTCGAGCCTGAATCCAGAGATGTCCTGGCACCGCCGGGCAGGGCGAAGGGGCGCCGGCCTGGTGACCGGGGAGTCCCGGCCGCCTCACCTGCAGGTGAACTTGAGGGCGAGGAGCAGCGCGCAGCCGAGCGCCACGGCCCCGCAGAGCAGCTCGGGCCGCCGGCGCGCCATGAAGGAGATGTCGCGCAGCCCGCGGCGGAGCCGGCCCGCCGGAGACGCTTC